GGTTGTCTTAAACCCACTTTCAACAGGGATTGTAAATTTGCGATTTCATCTGCAAGATAAAGAAGATCGAGATCTTTTTTTGATTTACGTTTATGATTTGTATTACATTTTCTATTTTCAGAAATTCTTACGGACATCTTATCTCCACTGGTGGGGAAAAAAAAAAAAAAAAAAAAAAAAAAAAACTCTAACTTTTTCCATCTGATGAGTCCTGAAGGCAGAATTGAATTCTTCCCTTCTTGACCTTTTTTTTTTTTTTTTTTGTCTTAAGGGTTCAGCAGCAGATGTGAAAAGATGGCCCAGAAACATGTAACATAAATCTCAGCTGTCAGTGTAATGAAGACTTTTATTTCACAGAACTGAAGAGCTGTTTTACCATGTGAAGCAGTATCTTTTCCAATAGCACTGGAAGTAAACATTCTGAAAGTAACTGAGAACCCCAGTCCTTTACACTTCCAGCAAGAATTAGGTCTGCAGCTACAGGCTGTAGAATTTACAAACTGTCTGTGTCTTTTGCATGATGTTTCCTTCTAGACATATCTAGGCTTTAAGAGATGCCAAAAGACGACTGATTGTCATAGGCAAAACTAAGACCTAACCAAAGCCCTGCATGACCATGAGTACAAATCACCATGCTGGATTAGGTTCCTGAAGAAAGCACCTGAGACAGTCAGCTAAAATTCCCATCGCACTCCATGGACAGGAAGACAAACCTGACATATTTTATTTTGCACATCACCTTTAGGATGAAACAAAATATCCTAAAAAGTACTCATTTCTCTGCCTTGAACTCAGACATACCTCACTTCTGGATATCAATAATTCATTGTACAAATCCCTCTTTCAACTCAATTTTGGAAGTAGGATTTAAGCATCTAAATTTTTAAAATACTTTTGAGAATCCGCCTGTAATTTTTTTGTAGTTCAACATAAAGTCTTGATATCATGTACAGGCAAGCTGAGATATGGGCAATTTTAATAAAAGCAAATATCTGAATCTTTTTCAGTAGTGGCCTTAGTTCTTTCCAAAAGCTCCAGCAGAATTATCATTCTTTGAAAGCAGAAAAGCAGATATATTCTTTGAACTATCTGGCAACAATAATATCTGGTTGAAGCAAAGAAGAACTCTTCTGAGGGCAGTGCAGAGCAGTGTCTTGGTAATATTTAATCACATTTTGAAATAATGCATTGATTATAGAGTTCACTATGCATAGAGAGGACTGGGAGACTGTGTTCACCTTAACTGAGTACCAACAGCCTTTAGGTTAGATTGCATCACATATAGATGTTTTACTGATTAACTCTCTTCTTAAAACATGGCATTTAATTTTCCTTCAAGAGACACCCTCTTCACTCTTTTATTCACGCACACAAATTATCCAACAGGAAAAACAAAAAGCACAGTATTCAGAAATTCATACTGCTTACTTTCTCATGCCATTTCATGACATTCCCCTTGAAAACAATACAGAACATTCCTTCGCAAAACATGGGAGCAGGTTTTGTTTGTTTATCCTTTCTTTTACATCGTTCCAGAATGTCAACTCTGACATATTTTTGCTGAAATTCTTCTTTATAGTCTCAGAATTATGGATTGTAAGCTTTGCCAGAGCTATATAATTGAGGGTGAAGTTAATCAAATACAAGTGTTACAAACCAGAATTTTAAATGCTATGAGCAAAAACATTTTCCATCCTTCTTCAAAGCTCATTCTGTTCTGTATAAACACCACTTTGCTGGTTCTTCAGCCATCAAAAACTTTTCTGAGCTTTCTTGATGTAAAGCTGCAGGCAAATAATAGGGGTAAGTAGGTTCAATTCTGAGTTTTTACACACATGAAGCAAAGGAAGTTACAGTCTGCCTCTATTTTCATTCTCCCAAGCACATGCTGGGAATGAGAATACTCTCCAGATGGTCATTCCCATTCTTTGCACAGAAAGCCATCATCAAAAGGACATCAGACACAGTGGCTTGAAATATATTTTAAAAGAATGTATTAGCATGAACTCATGTTCATACTATCAAAAACAAACAAAACAAGAGCTGCATGAAGGAGATTAGAACATATCAACAGGGAAGACCAAACCATTTGCTCGTCTTATGAAACTACGGAACTGTATTTCTTCAGTACTCCCATGTTTGTAGCCCTTGTGTTTATAGAACTGGGGAAGTTCCTGATTTTGAGTTACTTAACAGAAAAACAAAACCACTAAATAAACAAAAAATTCCTGTTAGGTTCACTCAGCACATTATACATGGGGAAAAAAAAAAAAAAAGTATCTTATTTCATCTCTAGATTGGCAGACTTTCTGTTAAAATCATTAAAAAGTGGACAATTCCTTCCAAAAACCATAACTTATCACGTTTAACTTATAAAGTGAAAAAAAAAAAAATTATGCCAACTTTCCTTGTTTTTTCTTTTTTTTTTTTTCTATTTTGTAGAAATGTTCTCAAATATATGATACTACAAAGCAATTTGAGCACTGACTTCTGCAGATGTGCCCTGACAATAAAATTAAAGCACGTGTATTTAAAGGAGTTAGGTGCCAGTGTATCTACCCAGGTACTACTGAGAGGTATAAGTGGATGAAAGAGAGCAGTTGCCTTACGAAGTCCTCATCCTTTCTCTCAGCTACCAACTGTTATCCTGCACTGCAGTTCCCATACCCTCAGTGGTACCAACACGGTTGTTGTGGGGCTGTCATGAAAAGTGAGTATCTGTAACTACTTTTCTTAGTTTTCTTAATCCAAATCAAGTAAAGTAAGGAAGATGTCATTTCTGCTGGGAAGGAAATGTTGTGGGACAAGATGAGATCCTTCATTAGGGTGAGTGCTGCTCTCAAGAAAAGCAGACAAATCTTTCTACGGATCCAAAACAAGTTATAGACTTAATGGAAGTGCTCTTTGGCAAAAATCCCTGAATTTCTACCAGTTAAGTCAACCTATTTTGTAATATCACAGTAAAAAATAATAGGAGCAAGCAGATCAGCTGGGGAATGCAGCTGAAGGAATGAAGATAGGACAGCATAGAGTGTGACGAAAGACAAGAGACATCACTGTTCAAAGAAGGGAGCCTTTACTGTGGTGGCTGTAGAAACGTATGCATGAGTTTTGCATTTATTGTTCTGACATAATTTGGTTCCCTAGTGACACATGTGTTTTGTGGGATGATTGTTTCCGATGATGAGTTGTGATGCTGGGGTGAGACAGAAGTTACTTGGTCCATTACTGTTCAGGGCTTGGGGAGATTATCTTTCAGAGTGATCTTGTGATGAGCAATCCAGTTTAACTGGATTAATAAAAGCTCAAACACAACATTCAAGAGTTTATCAGCTAAGCCAACAAAACCAATAAAATCTTTGCCTTTAGTAAAATAATGTGATTCACTACCTGCTAAATTTAGTCAATTACCTTGTGCTAGTTGGTACCAATAGGAGGTCTGTGATCACTATGCTTCAGTGGACCAGCTCGAGCCTGGTCTCGTGTTTCTGACTCCTTACAAGCACAGAACTCCTGGGCAGAAACAGTCCTATAGACTGAAAGTGACTGAGTCTAATGCTAAGATCACTGTCACTCTTCCATACACACATGGACAGTAACTTCAGTGCAGATTTTCAAGATACAAAGTTCAAGTGCCTTCAGAGAGGTTCTGGGCTGCTGCTGGCTCACTGCTGTGCCTACATGTGGGTGCCAGCTCAGGTTGCCAAATCCTTATCAACAGATCTTTCAAATACTCAGGGAATCTCTTGTAACATGAAAAATACATTGTTTTAGCTTATTCAGATAAGTTTTCATGGAATGGTGTGGAAATAATTGAGTAGTCCTTGTTAAGATCATTACTTGTCCTTGGTTTGTAGTTCTAATTGCAAAAATGTTTATGCACAACAGACAATATGCTCAGTGTTTTCAGTATCTAAGAATCACATTAAGAATAAACACTAATGACATTTTTCAAGATACATAATCCGCTTGTTTATGAGACTCAGTATGTCTAAAGAGGAGATTTTGATTATTTTAATACAGTCCTGTGGTGGCTATTGTTGACTTTCCAATAGGCAAATGGACAGCTTCACAGCTAAATACTTGAAGAGGTTTTGTAGTTAAGTATCTCCAAGATCTGTAATTCTCCAAGTAAATTAGATCTTACATTTGGTTTAAGGCATATAATAATCCAAGTGATATGTTGGTAAAAGAAATATCTTTGTTAACATGTAGGAAGCAGCTGGAAAAATAATGTATTATCAACAAGAACTTGTACTTTGGTCAATGCAAAATAAAGCCCTTGCAAAATGTTAACAAAACATACGTTCCAAGTACTTCTGTAGTTAAACTTCCTTTCTATGAACCTCCAACCCCTTCACCAAAGCAAACAAACAGCAAAAGTAGATGCAATATATTACTGTTTAAGAATATAATTTTTTTAAACATCTATCTTCAGAACATAGGTTTCAAATCAGTGTTCACTTTTCAAACACTTATAATTCTTACAGGTAGATAAGCTTATATTCATGCTGTCTAATCTTTCCAACTCCCTAACATAATGATAGCAGCCTATATGCCAACATCTGATAGACAATATCATCGCAGCCTCCCTTAACCCTTAGAAAAATAAAAATAGCTAGCTTTTCACTCAAATGTTTAATAGATGCCAGTCATTTAATCATCAGCATAAGCATGTGTATCTAAAATAAACATCTTCAGTCTGCAGACACATCTCAGGACAACAAGATACCTTGAAGTTATCTTGAAGAAGGAACTTTAGAGATACCACTATTCTTATGTCATTCCTAAGATACAAAGGTAGCATCGCCACCCAGTCTTAAAATGGGAACCATCTTGATGAGTTCTGTGACAAACTCAGATGGCACCCTCCTCCCATCAGACCTTTTCTGGAATGCTGCCCAACTGATGACAACTTTCTAGACACCAAGAGGAACATTACATTCACAACTTACAAATACCACATATAGAAAAACTTAGGATAATATACTTACCTTCACAAACTGGCAGCCTTCCCAAATACCACAGTAAATGCAATCTAATTCCAGTGAACTGGTTATACGCCAAGTAAATACAGTATAATGGCCAAAGTGTGCATTGGGAATGGAAGGAGAAGAAGCCTCACAGCACAGCTGAATACTTCCCATAATGTGCCTCATATAACAAGTCATCATTTTCTTTTACATAACATCTGAAAGAGAAAGGGAGAAAGTTCTGCTGCTAGTTGTATTAGATTTTTGCAGAGAGTAATAACATCTCAGCATAGCAAGGAATAATACATACCACGTATGTATTGTTTGTATCTATTCCAAAATGAGTACTTGCAATGAAGTAATGTTCTATTTAGTGAAATTTTAAGCAAAATTTCACGAACCAAGCTTTACATGCTTCCTCAGTTAAAGAAAAAGGTAACGAAAACGTTGCAGCCAGCAGAACTGTAGCATGCAGCAGCACAAGAGGAAACATAAACTTAAAGCTGTTTGTCATCTTTTTTGGAGAAAAAAAGAAATTTAAGGTAAAACCTCCCAGCTCTGTTGCCAGGGAGTTTGGATTGTTTTGTGGCACATCTACAGATTTGAGGGGTTTGGGTATAGTGGTGCTATTTGCAAAAGGGCAGCTCATGTATTACTTGAGACCTCGATTTGCCCCCTGGTAGAGCTAATAGAATAGCACTGTTTAGTAGAAAAGTCCCTTTGGGGCCTAATAAACTACAGTGAGTTTAAAAATTATATAACTTCCAAGTTGAGGCTGCATTTTCACTTCCTTTGTGAGAAAGACTTAATCTGGGCTACTTCTTTGGCTGTGCTACAGAACTGTATTTAAATCATTACAGAAGAGCACAAGATTGGTAGACTTGAGGCAGAAAATGGGGAGGCTGCACACATCCATAATCAGCTCACTAAAATTTCAAGTCCTCTCAAGAAGTATTGGTTTCTCTCCTCTGACACTACAGGAGGTTCAGTAATTAGCATGCTGCTGGTCCCAACTGTTGTGTTAACTGGAAGTTTTAAATTAGACTAGATGGAAAATACTGAGGTAAATAAGATACCTTGAAATTGCCAGGAGATGTGGATTCAACGATCTATCAGATGTTAATGATTGAAGGGACCTATAATTAACAACGATAGCATTGCAAAGTATTTGAATGTTCCATTGCTGCGGGACACATCACAGACACCAAGTATTAATTATGACTTTTTAAATTCATCTGTCCTCAGTGACCCATTGTAGCTTCACCAAGGAGCACATCTTTGAGGGTGTCCTCAACCTCATCATGTGCTCAGTCTCTCACGGAATGCACTGGCATCATTTCCTTCCTACAGCAGAGTTCAGTCTATGTTTTACAAAGCTACCTCTTCTCAGTTGGCAGTAACTGACAAGCCTTGCCCCAGGTAATTCTGTTCACTGGATATGCCCATCCAGGACAGTTTTCACTTCAAATCTTTCCAAGGATGTGTCATCTCAAGTTTGTTTTACTTGAATAACTTTTAAAATCTCATCAGCACAGCACATTTTTTGCCCCCCCTATATTTAATTAAATTAAATTATAACAGAATCCTATCCGTTCAAAAAAAAAGAGAACCTGATCAACCACCATGGAGCAACATTATCTGCTGGGCTACAGGAGGTTAATTAGGAGTAAGATGACTAATGCTTTTAACCAACTAAGGAATAAAGAACTTGAGCCATCAGTACGACCAGAGCACAGTTTCAAGCCCACCTAGGCAAACTGGTATAGACCTCTCCATGAATGTCAGTGGCTGATCAGACCTGATGTAAGATGAAAATCTGAAATTCCCACAAAACCATACCATTTTAGCAAACTGCCTTGGTTTTAAACAGCACACTGATCTTATTAAGAATAATGCCTTCACTCAATACATAAAGAAAAATGCTTTTCTGTCTCATTGTCACATCTCAGTTTCATGATACAGTGAATTTTGGCAGTGGAATTTTTCTCTACCCATTCTGACAGTCACTTGTTTTGCTCAGCACTGAAGATCTCTCCCACCCAGTGACACAGCTATTTGCACAGGGTTCCCAGAGCTGTGCTAAGCAAAACTAATACGTCCCTGAAGCTACACGTAGGAGGTCACGCTTCTGCTGTTTATCTCCTACAAGCTCACCAAACTCTACCTTGAGGTATTTTACTGTGTCAAAATGGCAGAGGGGAGAGAGAGGGTTAGATAGTTTTCTGCTGTACTGTGCATGGGGATATATCAGCTCTCACAGGGGTCTGACAAAAACTGAAGCCATTGTCCAATGAATGAGTAAAGCACAGCTCAGACTAGGGAAGAAGTGCAAGACCTCCCCCTTCCCCATGAGTGAAGTGGTGCCTCCTCCTGCCTGCTTTTCTGTTTGCATTATTTTTAACCTTATCTGGTTCCCTGACTCAGTTCACAATCCCCTAACAGTTGTGTCAACAACTGAGTGAATGACAGCCTGAGTGTAGAATTTCTTCAGCTTGTTTCTCTCTAAAGGCCACATGTAGCCTGAGCAGTATTTTGCTTCAGGCAAGTCTACCATGTTCATTTAAGTGAAGACTAAGTGTGGAGGTGTTACCAGCCTGAGGAAGATAAGAATCTGGTGCATTTATCTTGTAGTAAGTTTATATTAATCCGCTGCACACACTGCTCTATGAAAAAATAACATTTCAATTGATGAGCAGCTAAGATTGTGATATATACCAAAATCACAGTTCTCAAGTTTGTCTTTTTAATTTCAAGGTTTAGTTTCTAGATAATGTTGAGGTAAGCTTGTATTCCTTATTATCACTAAAGTTTCACAACTACTCTCTACAGATACAGTATAAAAGTTTTGCACTAAAGAAGCTGTGATAATTCAGACTATGTTTCATAAATCATCCCAGAAAAAGGCAAATCTGAGCAGCAAGAAAGGACTCAATTTGGCAATGAGCCAGCCCTTCATTTGCTTGAGAAATATTTGGCTTCAGGGATACATTTCAGAAAAACACTTTCAACTATCACAGAATCATAGAATTATTAAGGTTGGAAAACACCTTCAGGATCATCAAGTCCAACCATCTCATTGCTAAACCATCTCTCTTAAATACCTCCAGAAATGGAGATTCTACCACATCCCTGGGAAGCTCATTCCAATGCTTGACCACCCTCTGTGTGAAGAAGTTCTTCACAATGTCCAGTCTAAACGTCCCCTGGCACAGCTTGAGACCACTTCCTCACATTTGATCACTTCTCACCTGAGAAAAGAGACTGACAGAACATTATGCTGTGATACCTTGCTATTATGAAATATGAGCTAAGTTTACTACTGTGATTAGATTGATCATCAAAACTGCAGAAAAATAACGGGAGCGTTTATCTTGTGTAGGATCTTCTGTGACTACATTAGTTCAGAAAGGGAAGTTTCTTCCAGTTGAGTTTGTGTGAGTACTCAGCTGATGTTTAGTAGAATGCCTCAAGGACCAGCTACCAGGACACCAGCTGTACATTGTGTGAAACCTCTTTCTCCACTAGACTTAGAAACTGTGTGGAGCGGCTAGACACAGATCATAACTTGACACTGACATGTAGTTAACTGTTAGTGTCCTGCCTTCGTCACGCATTTGTTTGTTTCCAAATGCAACTAAGAGCTCCTTTGATTCTTTTTATTTCACCATTAAATCTTGCCCAATGTTAGGAGAAATTTCAGGTTAGTTTAAGAAATACTGGAAAATACCATTCCCAGGGTGAAACCAATCACTCTATGGATCATGGACACAGCAAGTTCAGCAGAAACAAATGCCACAACTTAACATTCCTGAGCTGTCCATCTTCCACTGAGCTCCATGGCAGAAAGGATTTTCTTCCTTCATAAGCAGTAGAACAGCAAGTAAGAGACCTGAAGGCGAGATTCCCTTTAGATCTCTTTACAATGGGTTGTGGCATCTCTAATCCATGGAAATAAAGAAGCTAACTTCTCTATAAAAAAAAGTCCAATGCATTTAAAGATCACTATATTCTTTTCATACCAAAACAGTAATTTCATTTATTTGAAGTACTCCCACTTAAATTTTTATTTCCCCAACCCATAATTTTTTTAAAAAGGACAAAAGTAACGAATTGAGATTGGCAAGCAGCAAGTCAAAGCTTCATCTAAGTTCTATTACTACATTTCTCTCATCACTTATTATTTGGGCTGCAAAATATAAATACGCCCAGATCCACTGCTAAACTAAATCAGCTGATAAGTATGGCGCAGTATCCACCTAACAGAGAGAGTGTACTTTCAAACGATCCTTTGTAAGGCAAGCTGAGCATGCTAAAACTGAGTGGTTTGGCTATATCAAAATTCTCAAGCAAGTCTGACTGCTTAAAAATTATCACATAAAGGCTAGTACAAACAAACAGTTTGGGAAGTAACACTACACACGAACATCAGCAAGATCTTCAGTCACCTCCATCTCTGCCAGCCAAGCTCAAAAGGAGAAGCAGCAGCTGAGGTAAAAATGTCACTCAACAGTGACCAAAATGCAGATCAATTATCAGACCTTACACGACACTTATATTTTATCCTTCCAGTGCTTCGCTGATTTTAATGCGCATTTAAGTGGGTCTTCTCAAAACTCGAGAAAATTTCTGGGCTATACATAACTATATAGTTCCAGAAGTGCTCACCTTTCAGGGCAGTGCTGCTGATTCTCCCCATTCCTGTCCTTATCCCATCCCACCTTTGTCTTTGTTAAGCAATAAATTTGGTCCAATAAAACTCCTTTATGCTGGGCATTTCTGTGAACTTTTTGATCAGATTTGAAAACATTGTAAGCACGATCCTCAGCTCTCACAAGACTTTCCCTCATTAAATTACTGCCATTCATCCAACTGACTTGTACTTCAGCAGAACCGTAACACAACCGCAACCAATGATCTTGAGAAAGCAGCAGCAAACTGTTCCTCCTACTGTAAACTCTCAGTTGCTGCCAGATAGAGGGAAAAAAAAGAAAAAAAGAAAAAAAAAAAAAAAAAAGGAGTATGACTGCAAGGATATAGCTTAAAAAAAAAAAAAAAAAAAAATCAGACCAGTATCCATGTCTTAAGTGTAAGTTATAGTACCTAGAAGAAAGAAAAGAAACATGCCTTAGGTCAAAACGCCAATGTTCCTAGTGGGTCAGGAAACAAGAAAGCATTTTATACTCAGACTAGAAAACTTTCTGTTGAGAGTATTTGGTCT